AGGCAGGAAACAGAGAAAAGAGAGTTTTCTGACTTGCAAAACTAAAGAAGTCTGTGTTAGTGAAGAATTAGAAGTATATACTGCATCCCCCAGGCTCCTGATTTGTAGGAAACTTTGCAAACCAGAGAAACCTTGCAAACTTTTTGAACCAGCGCTATCACGCATGTGTTTGTTGGACCTTCATGATTCTCCTCCTTCAAAAAGAATTGAATGTAGTTGCCAGTGTTTGAGTCCACAGATTCTACCTGCAGGTTCGTGTCTCCTTCTCTTGAACTGCTCAAGGGTCTCGCAACACTAGGCCTGCAATTGTCTTGATCTGTACAGCGCTGCCCCCTTTAGATGAAGCTAATCTCCAGGTCAACCGAGGGGCCACCAGTCCTACCGACGGAGGTCACCTAGGATCATGATTATTTATACATGTCTGTCTGGTTTCCTTCACTCACTTAGGGGCTCTGCCCTCTGCCTGGCCAAACAAAATATTTGAGTTTCTAATCCCTGTTCAACAACATACCCCAGCCCACAGGAAGTACCCGGGGAGTTCTGGAAATTTCAGCCCCTGACGCAGTAAGTCCAGAGAGGGACCTGAGCACCTGCATTTCAAGTGGGTCCCAGCAGGTGCCAATCCTACCATAGGTTGAAAATTGAGACCACAGCCAACATTTTCATATGAGCTGGTGGAACTGATGTTTTCCAAATATTTATCTATCCACAACTGACATGAACTATAGTCAAACAGTCCTAATCAATTAAGTGGTCCTGCAAGTGTATAATTAAATAATTTACCGGGGGTCTTTTTTTACTGATGTGCCCGTTGATGTGAGCTAATGCGCCAGACACTGTGCTGGATGTTAGAGACATGACAGTGAACAAAGAGAGATCGTCCTGCCCCCGGAGACCACAGTGCGGTGGGAGAGGCAGATCTCAACATAAGCAGGATTCTACGGGCGCAAACACAAAACAGTGTGCTCTGAAGTACAAGTTCGGTGTGTTACGAGGGTTCAGAGCAGGTGAGTCTGACCTGGTCTGGCAGGAAGGCCCCTCTTACGGAGAGGCTGAAAGCTACAGGGCAAGTCCCCTGATAGGGGTGGGGGTTCGTAGCTGGAAAGGAATTACTCATCGTTGGGCTGACGGGAAGACAGGGAGAAAATTCAGAGCGGGTGGGCAAAATGAGTGCAAGCACTCCAGGAAGCCAGTTCTGGAGTGGAGATTTCGCCTGCATCGGCTCCGCTGGGGAAACCAAGCCTAGGAAGTCCTTGAAAATGCGCGTTCCACGAATTAAGGCTGTTAAACATGAGTTTGTCTCATTTCCCCCAAAGGCCCCAAGCTGTTTGAGGACAGGACCCACCATACGCTGGCATTTTGTGCACCAAACACTAGCTGATTGATTTTATCGTTCAA